AAACTTGAGATTATATAGACTATATATAAAAGATAAAAGTTGATCTTAACCAACCGAGCTATAAGTTATTTGAGAGTGATAAATTAAAATATATAAAACATGTAAATAAATAAGTATTCCACTTTATCTTATTAGGTTAAGAGATGTTTTGATCTCATAGGGCTGATAACAAATTATGTACTTGACGTTAGTTACCAAACAAACGAAATCTTCACGCCTAATACTACTCAGTACTAGTAACAACATTTATTTTATTCTTATATTCTAATTAAAAGTATACATCAAAACAAATTGGCATATCTAAGTTTTCAATAGTCCGGAGTACAAAGTAATTTAGCTTTATATTTCTTAGATTGGTAAGTAAATAAAAATGGCAATGCTAGGAAAAATGATCTATTTAAACAATATTTGGTAAACCATGTGACGTGGTTGCTGATAATTGAATTATTACTTAAGTGTTAATTAACATGTTTATTCCCTATTAATAACATATCATATGATTTGTAAATATGATCTAAAAAGTTAGTTTACTTAACATTACTCGAATAAAAATATTATTTTCTTAATTCAGTTATCACCTTCTATTTCTCGTATTAAGTAGATCGCTCTATTAAACAACTATGAGAAATGCTAAGGAGACACTTTTAAAGTGAAACTCTCTATCACTTCAAATTTTGACATAATATTTTATAATGTTTGGCACGGAAATTATTCAAAAAATGAGATGGCAGTTTTTCTATGAACAGAGAGTTTGGTTAGCATTCGACACGACTACATGCGAGCTGGCATCATGTGAGATGGTTACAATATCTCAATCGTCAAATGATTATCCAACTTGTGCCACGTTCTGATTAGACATATATGGATGTCCACATCTCCTTCAATCTCAAGATACGACAAGAAAATTAATTCAGGAATCAGCGAGGTAAGCAATTCACTTGGACAACACAAAATTACACAAAATCTTTATATGCCTAGTGGACTGATGACTTTGGATATATTAAACAGAAGGAAATGTAATGGAGATTAAATTTATAGATAAAATTTATAAAATTAAAGGATAGGAAAGTTGATGATTGATTTATTACTTAAGCATTGATAAACGTGTTCATTATTATTGATGACACATCATCTAGTTTGTAAATTTTGTTTCGAAAAAAATGTTAGTGCATGTAAACACGAAACTTCCTGCAACAAATAAAACAAGAACACTTGTATAATTGTGCTCATGTAATGAGTTTTAGTTGAAAGATCACTTAAATAAGCTTATTAAGATTTTTAATACAAACGATATTACAACTTTAATACACTAGAGATAGAGGAGAATTTAATCGTTGAATAATTGTTTTAAATTTTTCTAACATTAGTGTTTTTTTTTTTAAGTATTGTGTCGTCTATTTTCTTCTCAATAATCGTGTCTTGATTATTTTAGATTTTTTTTTATTTTTTATAGATATCTTATTCCTGATGAACCAAAAATATCGACAAGATCGAATCGTTAAAAAAGGTTATGGAGTGAACTCCACAATAAGAATTACAACATATTTTATGTTTTGCCTGTGGTTAGACGTAATGTTAGCTGTCCCGAACAATTAATCGAATATAGATATAGTGCAACGTGTGTACAGTCTGGTGAACTGAAGAAGTTGGAACTTATTGCATCGTCTTCATCAATACAAATATAACCCTATCAGCAACTATTTATTTCGGAAAAGAAAACCCTAGCGAGCTAATTGCAGCAACTTTATTTCCAGGTCCTTCAATGTCTTTTCACGCTGAAAAAGAATCGCTATAAATTTCTTGAGAAAAATAGTTGGCAGTCATCGGGAACAAAATGACTGGTCAATGACTCACGCCATTGAAACTTAGTTTATCAAGTTCACAAGACAAAATTAAGTAACGTGTGTAATTTGTTTAGGTTTGTTTTTAGCTACGTTTCCTGAAACTTTATTTTGATATCACTTTGTCTCTGTAACTCAAAAATTATAACTTTACTTCTTGAAACTTAAAAGTCGTTCCACTTTGACTTTTGGATTCTCTCTTCTCCCTGAAATTTATAGGTCGCCTCCTATAACATATGGGAGACTCAAGACCCAATAAGATTAGGCCATATGTGCAATAAATTTGATTATAAGTCTCCATTATGCATTAATATTCAACAGTTAGAGAATATTAAGTTTAAAAGAAATTGAAGAGATAAAAAAAAAAAAAAAAAAAAATGATTAGCCTGGTGCACCCAGATCAAATAAACATAAAAGATTAACAAAATCAAGGCAATATGGAGCGAATTTTGAGTTTTATATAGAAAACTTTCAAGTTTCAGGAGCAAAGTGAAGCGAACTTTGAATTATAGGGAGAAAAGTGACGCTTTTAGAGTTATAGGGAGAAATCAAATAAAATTCGAGTTTTAGGAGATGTAACTAAAATAACCTATATGTTTATTGGTTAGAGGTGAAGAGAAGGAATTAAAATAAAATCCCTCAGTGTTGATAAAAAAAAATTATTTAAAAAAAAAAATTAAAATCGAAAGAGAACTACTTGTCTATTTTGTCGAATTTACTGAAAGCAAAACCAAATGACAATTCTCGGTAATAAAAATCGAAAGAGAAGAGCGACAGGGGGATTGTAAATTTGTAATAGCGGAGATAATGCCATAAGTTTAAGATTTTTGGATTAAAATGATTAATTTGCCCCTAACATACTGCTATTAAAATGATTAACTTGTCCTTTATATATTTAACTGATTGATATTGAGAAATTTGTTTGCCATGGACATTTTGGGGTTTTGCCACTATTTTGTCTTTTTGTTGTGGCTAGTTTATATATAGATTTATCTATGTTACATTTTAACTTTTATGGGGCCAAATTTTCGCCACTTTTATAGAACAGATTCACTGTTGCATGCTATTTTAGTCTAAAAACATAATGTTTTGTAGATTTTTTATATTTTTTTTATTATTTTTTTTATATGACATTGCATTATTTGCAGGGCTGGTCCTAAGATTTTTGAGGCTTGAGGCGACACCAAATATGTGCCTTAACTTCATATAAGAAAAATTATTTGTTTTCAAACATAAGATTTTGATAAAATTATACTTACAAAAACACTTCAAACTCAAAAATTTAGAAATATATTTATACTCTTATGAAAAAAAATTCGTAAAAGTTGAAAAGTAAAAAAATACACACAACGTTTCGAAACCATGACGTCCTCGTTAATTTTAAACAGCATAAACAAACCTTTTATAGTTAAACTTTTTGATCATTTGACTAAATTTTATAAATATAGTGTTTCGAACCCGGGACCTCCTCATTAAATTTAAACAACAAAACCACTAGTTCTAGTTGAACTTCTTTATCATTAAATTAAATTTTATAAATTTATACTCTTATGAAAACATATGTAAAATATAATACCCTAATAATTTGGTGCTCCCAATTTTTAGGGGCCCTGGGCGGTCGTCCAACCCACACTAGACCTGGGCCAACCTTGATTATTTGCACCTCTATGGAACTATCTTGTTGTCTAGACTAATAATACAATGTTTCAAGCACGTGACATTATATCATTAGTTTGGAACGCTACGTATCATCTGGAGGGTGTATTGAAGTCTTTCACTTAATAGAAAAGTGCCAAGTTGGACTCCCACCTACACCTTAGTGCCATTAAGAGAACTCATTAATTTGAGAAATGGTAAGTATAACTGAACCACCATCACGTGGTTTTAACAATCTGCAAATGTTATTAAACACATTTTACTTTCATTTCAAGCAAAATCATTCTTACCACAACATGGACCATGTTCCTTGTGCATGAATATATGAATTATAAGCGATATTACTATATATTTTAAGCTAAACTAAAGAGTGGAAGGATAGTTTAAATCACAAATGTAATAGGTTAAAGAAAAAGCTCCTAAGCACCGAAATAATTCATGACGCACTTTTTGCATGAATATGATCATAATAATGTCTTATTTGCTACAAATAAATTAGATACGTAATGATTACATTATCAGCATTTTAAAACACATTGAAATAGGAGTCTCTTGATAATAATATTAAAATAAAAAGGATATAGTGGATTAGAAATGTTTGATTCCATTGCTTCCTACCAATCGCCATTCTCATCCCAAGGACGGAACCAATTAAATGAAACAATTACAACCACAACAATGGCAGTTGTGATTCTCTTAATAGCATTGGAATGGTCACAGAAACATTTTTGTAGCCACACATCTACTTTTGCAAAAGCGCCAAATTCTTCCCAGTAGGACAATGTGTCGTGCTTTTTTTATTTTTTTTTTATTTTTTTTAAGGAAAGATCATGGTGGACGTGTTTGAAATGTTTTTAAAATGACTAAAAACATACCAAAAGTTAACCATGTATGGTAGAAAAATTAGAAATGACTGCTTTTTGGAAGCACATGATGTATAGTTATTTCAAAAAGTATTTAAGTGCTTTTCTAATGAACACTCGTAATTTTATTATAGGTTTCATTGTGCTTTTTTTTTTTTTTTTTTTTTTTGAACAAACAATATTATCTACGAAGAGAAAATGGGTGAACTTAACCTTTGACAAAAATCAAACCTAAGACATTTCACTTACAAGTGAAGAGGAATACTACTAAATTGTAATATTAAATGGCAACGGAAGCGTTTTTGCAAAAAATACTTGTGAACACAAGCGATTTTTATAAATACAATTCCAAACCAGCGCCAAATACTTGGAAGGCTCTAGAATATTTTTACGCAAAGATCCCACCAATCCAGCGCCAAATACTTGTTGATAATCCAAGGGTCCGTCGAGCGTGAATAATGCAAAGTTCCCGACCGCTAATGCACGCCAGCTCCAAAACTAAGCGAGGCCGAAAATGCATCTACGGTCAGAAATCATTCACATGCAAAACACCCACGGTTAGCGGAGGTAGTAATGGTAGGTAGGCTTCTTATTGAGTCTGTAAATGAGAGGTATTTAATGACAATCTAGAAACAACAAATAAAAGTAATGTTGGATTCTTCTTTCCATGTGCAGAAAACAACATCCACAGCTTAAGCTTACTGCAAACTGCAGCGTCAACCACCTCCAATAAAGGCATTAATAAAAAACAATTCCTCAGAGTCACAAACCAGTTTTTTTCTATGGCACATTAGAAACAAACGAATTTTCAGGAGCTCACAGTAGTGCATCTTCTGCTGCTGCACCTTGGCTGTTCCAGGCTGCACACTCGCTGGCAAACCTTAACCCGCAAGGATTAATTGGTCCCGGTTATCATAACGTTTTCTCGAGGACAATGCACCAGTTCGATTTGTCGAAAAATCGATCAACGATTACAGCGTCTTTCATCCCAGCTACTAATCTGCAAAATAGAGCAAAAATTAAATGAGCCGGTGAGGTTAAGCATCAATTGTAAATGTATTGTCAGAACATTAAGTTAAGCATCAATTGGGCAGTGACCACCAAAATTAAAATACCCTTTAACAAAGTTCTTTTTAAAAAAACGAGACAGAAGTCCAACTAGATACATAGGAGCTGCATCAACAAAGCAACTGGGCAGTGATCTTAACTCAAGCAATTACCACCAGAGGACGGTGCTACCTGACTTAGGAGATAATCTTCAGTGTGCCAGAAACACGGTCCGGTAAACCAGTGTCATAATACAAGCGGTTGGAAATTTTTTTAAGCATCCAACCACCTGTATTGTGGCACTATATGTATAGGGCCATGTTCTCGGCACACTGCAAAAACTCTCCTAACTTAGAGGCTGACCTACCGTAATGATTGGGATCCTTCTCCCACTGAAAAGGCTTGGGCCAAATCCAATAGGCCCACGAGGCTTCTTCTCGTACTCACTTCTAGAGTTGGCCTCTGTACTTCTAACGTGAATGGTTAGCTCACACAACTTACTTATAATAATATAACACTAGAATATATGACTTTGTGCCAAGAACCCTAATTCAAGAAACGGTAACTCATCATTCAGGCACAAAGTCAACAAAATTTGGTGACATGTTAGCCACACATAGATCATAACCTTGTAAGTATCTATATATTACCCCACTCATCTGCATTGTATGTTATATGTCTTCAATATAACAAATACTTTATGAGTGAATTACTTTGACCATTTATTGATTCACAGATGTAAACCATTGTGCTGGGGTGCCTCAACTATTTAAACAGCTCCTACGATTCCACTCATTAAAGTATTGCTCTTATGATTCAGCTTCATAACAAATCCATATAAACAGATGCATAAAATTCTGTCCTAATAGGCACTAGACATATAAAAGATTAGTTTTGCCCCCTGTGAGTTCGGTTTCTTTGTTTCAAGTAATGTTAATTCAGTTTCAGCAAGCCAACAACACAGCACAACCATAGCAATGAGACATAACAAAAATATAAGTATAATTTTATTAATTTGTTGATAAACAATATACATACAGTATGGAAAAAGAAACAAAATGACAAGTTACCTTTCAAGCTCGCCTTCATTGAAAACATGGTAATATCTGTTGTACACAACAGCACCCTTTTTATCATCTTTCTTTGCAAGGCCATTTGCAAGAGCGCAAGCAGAAGCACCACTTACTTCAGCACGGTGATATGGCAAGTGCCAGGGGACAAAATATTCTTGTTGATCATTTGCATCTTTCACATCACAAGAAGTCCCCGAATAACTCTCACTTTGAGAGGTTTTTTCTTGCAAACTCTGTGTAGCACTCTGGTCGGACTCTTTCTTACGCTCTCCCAAACTACTCTCCTCTGTTTCTGGGATGCTTTGCAATGTGCGAGATGAAGGGCTACGAACATGAGGACTACCAGGTCCTATCCACTCTTCTCCATACTTTTCGGTAAGTGGAGTCCATTTTGCAACTAATGATTTATCTTCTTGTTCTACAGCCCAAACTGTTATTAGAACTAAGCCACCCTTTCTCACAACTCGGATCAATTCTTCGATTGCTTTCTTCCTCCTACCCTCCGTACTTAGATGATGTAATACAGCTATGGATATAGCTGCATCACCAAAACCAGTTCTATATGGAAGGTCTACGGCATCTGCAACCAACACTTCATGCCCTCTATCTGCACAAATTTTGATAAGAGGAGCACTTATATCACATCCAATGAAAAAACAATCAGGATTAAATCCCAAGTACTTCCCATTCCCACATCCTGCATCAAGAACAAGCGATCCTGAAGGTAAGGAAGATAGAAAATTGGCTACTTTTGGCCACTTAGCAAACCGGGTTGAACTGAAATGAGGTGCTATAGCATCATAAACATGATGGACATACTTCTTTTCTATTTCAGGAGTGAACTGCACATTTAAGGATGCCTGTCTACGGCTGTCACTAGCTGATTCAGATTGTAGGATCTGAGATTCTTCACCAGAATCCAGAGAACAAAAACCAGACGCACCTTTAACCTTGACTTCTCTCATAGTACTGAAGATTCCTGAATAAGAAACACTACCAATGATCACAGTGGGAAGACGGAAGGCCTCTCTAGACAGATAATAGCATCTACTTGCTTTTAGAACGTTACAAAACATCACCCAGAAGAATGCATCTAATCAGAAAATAACCTGAAAAAAGGTCAAAAGGTTAAGGTTACAATTTTGAAAACATACAATTTGAATTATAAATGCGTGTGTAGTATCCTATGACATAAGCAAAACTAAACAGTGAAACAAGGAAATAAATTGGGGAAAGCAGCAAAATCGTTTGTAGGAGGAACAGACCAGCACATTTTAGTTTATCTCAAGCAAGTGAACCAAACTAGGAAGGAGAAATGCACCAAACGATCAGCGGCTTGAATTTCCCTTTAGTCAAGTTAATGACAAACTTGAAGAGGCTATTTTCAATAATCCTCTGCAGAACGCTTCAAAGACCTTTCACCTTCCATATAACAAGACCTAATAAAAGCCGACCAGGTAAGGAACTCCTACCCTGTTCTCAAGAGAAAATAACTATCACCCATTTGTCCAGAAATTACACCGAACAAGCCTGCCGCAGCTTCCCGCCATCGCTAAATGCATAAAAATCATAATCCTGTATACATTTTGTTCAACTGAGATTCAAACTTCCCCACCCTTTATTTTCTTCTTACTATGATTCATTTATTGATTGAAGAGCGAACTGCGCGATGGTACGATTTTTCTAATCTCCCAATATGCTTCTTGTTTGAAACCAAATTCAGTGCTTAATGCATCATCCGGATTTAGGGTTTCACAAATTCTGGAGATTTAACAGAGTTGCACACACCACAATATCCAGAGGCCAAGAACAAAATCATATTACTGCAATTCAGCTAAACACAACTTCAATACATAGATATTATACCTAAATCAATACATATACATACATATATATATATATGTATATATGAGTAGAGAAAGAGAGGTGAGGCTGACCTGATGCAGCAGACATGGATACGGTGAAGTCCAAAAGCTTGCTTTGTTATGGTGAGGAGCTGAAGAAGTGGCGTGAACCAATCCGAATGGTATGAAATTTGCTTCCTCTTTGCTTGTCTTGTGAGGTGTGGCTGATTCAATTAGGGTTTCTCGCAGAGAAAGACACGAGGGAGGTGGTGGGCGGGCACCGTGAGAGAGTAGTTACGAAGAGAACAAGCGTAGGGCGTACACAGTGAACTCCTCCATACTGACCGTTGATTTCCGGGTATTTATTAGATGTACGATACACCAGCCACTTGGTATATCGTACCGATATAATCATGACACATGATTCTGAACTTAAACCTATTACCCCGTTTAAACACCTAGTCCACATTTTTCATTTTCTTTTCCACTAGCCACTCCACACGTGCGTAAAACATTTTTTTATAACGAAAGTTACGCACCCCTAAAAATGTGTCGCTTTAATTGTGTACATAATTGCCCATCCAAAGTTTTTGATTTTGAATGACTAACACTCATTTTTCCAACTAATTTATGAGAGGCCAACACCCATATTTCAATCTATCTTTTTAATAGACACCTTCAACGTGTGAGAGGTATTTTTTTAATCACAGGCTCATAATGCCTCTAAAGATGTTTTTCATTGTAATTATCAAGAAAAACTTCTTCATATCGTGCACGTTCTAAATATTTGTCAAGTTTTTTGTTCTCACTTTGTGTAAAGTAATGTTTTATTTTACATATGTTCTTCCACTCCCCCTTGCGAGAGACTTTGTTTAATTACGAGTGCTACGCATCCTTAAAAATGTCTTGCGGTGGCCATCTCCAACCGAATGAGGGCCAAAGGGCTCTCTTTAGCCCTATAGTCCTCCAAGAAATTATATTTTAATGAACAGTGCCAGATCATATTTCATATCATCTTCAACCGAGAGGGCCAAAGGGCCAAAGGGCCATAGGCCAAACATAGCCCTGTGACAAAAGCCATCTCCAACCGAGGGGGCCAAAGGGCTATAGGCCAAACATAATTTATTATTTCAATTTAGAGACTACAATAACTTAAATTTAAAAACTACAACTTAAATATTAAAGACTACAACAACTTAAATTTAAAGACTATAATCATCATCATCATCTGCCATTGTAAAAGTATAGTCGGATGTAAACAACTCCCGTTGGGCCATAATTTCCCTCATTTTCCTATCAAAATATGCCTTACTCATTGGAGTGTAATCCGAAGTGTTCCTTTGCATGTTCCTATCATCCATCTCTTATTGTATTTGTTTTGCTTGTTCTTCATGTCTACGATTCCTTTCTTCAGCGGCAAATGCATTTTGCTCCACCATTAATCGCAATGAGACCGCTATTTCCTGTTGAAAGGCATAATCATCCTTTGCCTTACCCTTTTCCTTCAATTTTCGGGCCTTGTTTTGTCCCGTAGCCCTAGTTATGGAACCTTCACCTGGAGATGGATTTTTTACCCTTATTTCTTGAATGGTAGAAGATCCATCTTTATCCCCATCTGCATTTGAGGATGCATTTCCGAACACTGACGTAGGACCAACTCTTTATTGAGGTGGATCTTCAAATAACACTCATCCTTTACAAATTTCCCAACAACCGTGATGACTAAAGGGTTTGGAGTTGTCCTCCATATGCAATTCCTCCACTTGGCATACTTAGAAAATATAATTACAAAAATTAAAGGAAATTAATTTATGAAATTAAATGTAATATAATTCAATATTTAAAATAACTTGTGAAAACACTTACTTTGTCGTAGTAATTGGCTGCGCTTTCATGTCTGCTTCCGACCTTTAATGACACAACATGGTATCTTATCAGCAATATAAATATAATCATGTGCTCAATAATCTATACTAGCACGCAAGTTGGAGTCACCTAATGTGACATGTATGACTGCACCTATGGCTCATTGATCTATGCAAGCACACGAGTCGGAGTCGCCTAATGCAACTTGTATGATAGGCTAGGTGTAATAATATACGCTCTAGTGCTGCGATCACATGAAGGCTAGTGCTATACGCGGTCACCTATGAGTCAGACTCGCTTAATGTGATTTGTATGATAGGCTAGCACCTACTTGGATCCAAAGCGAGCGTGTGGTACGGGAGGTGAACAATCACGTGAAGGACTAACCCTGGCTCGGGACGAGAGCACTAACATCGGGGTGTAGCAATGATGAGCAAACTATATGAGTATAAGCATGTCATAATGATGCAATAATTCCAATCAACATAATAAACTTACCTGAACTTATATGCGCATCTTGTAGGATCATCTTGGTATTTCACAACAGTGTAACATGTCTCATAACATAATTTAATCATGGCATGAAGTGCATGAATCAATTTAAAAGCATTTGTGGAAACTATCAATCATATATATATATATATATATATATATATACACACACACATATATACTATAAAAAGGAAAATACCCACTCACCTGAGGTCCATGCTACAACTCTCTAGCATGAATATCGAGGCGTCACAAACGATCGGCGCCTAGAACAATTATCAAATCACATCTCAGAATACTTATTGATAGAACACGTAACTTACATAAAACACATCCCCAAGGACTTTCTAGAATGATTTGAAACCCATTAACCAAAAGTCAACCGTTGGTCAAAGGTCCGCGGTAATGTTTATAACCCTACGTAACTTAATCTGGAAATCAGCACCTCGAATTTCTGATCCGTAACTTCCAAAGATCCATATTATGCTTCTAGAATATCATACTAAAGTTTCATTACAATCCAACGGTTGGATCTGCACCAATTGCAAATTCAAGTGGTGGTCAACGTTTTATTTTACGAACTTACAAATCCAATTCATGAAGATCCGTACTTCGAATTCCCAATCCATAAGTTTCAAATATCCTTAAATATTATGGTCTCTATCAAAACTATGTTCAAATGATGAGATTTCTTCAATCAGACTTCACCTATGGAATTGGGGTATCAAACTTAGCTTAGAAAGGTTAGGGGGTGCCTCAGCCCACGCGCCGCTGCACACGATTGTCAACCACCCCGACTCGCCGGAAAAATCAATTATTTCTAAAAATTCTCAAATTTCACAAAAATGAAGATCTCAATGAGTAGAGCAAGTTTTATACATGTGGCCATGTCCAATTTGGACGGAAAAAGCCTTAAATCGCTGTGAACCCATTAGAAACCTTAGAATGGGTGTTCGTCGATTCAACTTCTCATGTGTTCCAACGCCCCTGTCACTGGTTTGGTTTTGTTCCTGGGTCCAAGGGGAGTTGATTAAGGGTAGTAGTGGGTGGTGAAACTTGCTGGATTGGAGGAATCACCGTCAAGCACCTCCGGTGCTCCAGTGAGGTTCTACATAGTCTGGACGTAAAAACCTTCAAATTTGGGTGGAGATAGTAGATGGGAGGTTGTGAAAGAGATTGCAGGTGTTGGATGATGGTGTTTCGACAGGAAAAATGGCGGAAATCGTCGGAAATTTGGTTGGATGGGTGCACGGATGGGTTGACGAAAAGGGAAGGCTGGGAGTTTTATTTCCCTTCTCCTAATTGACTATCTCTCTCTCTCTTCTAATTTCTGATTGGTCCTTGCCCCTTTAATTAGTTTATACACTAAAATTTGAGTAAACAATTTCAAACTTCCGTAACTATACCTTATAACTCGGACTCGCAAACAGTTTTTGCCTATGCGTTCGTAGCTTCAAGATCTATTCGGAAACATTAATTGTGACTTCAAACGGTCAACGAAAGTCAAACATCCTCACCTCTAAGGGCATTTTCGTAAAATCATTATTTAAACATTTATAAAACTTAAAATTAGGGACGGGTTGTCACAATTTACCCACCTTAAAAAAATTTCATCCCCGAAATTTAAAATCATTTGTTATACAAAAGTAGTGAAAAGACCACAGGGAAATAAATATGTAAAGAAGATATCAAGTTAGAATGGTTGCATAAAACAGATTGCCATTCCGTTGCGATCGGATTGCAATGATTCTTCTTTCATGCCTCCAAACTCAAACTTTTATTCTCCTTCAGTACAATACTATAATATACTGCTTTTATAAAACATACAGTAAAAAATATTTATATATAACATCCCGTCAAAATACATATATATAATAACATAAAGTTAAAGTAATCACTTAAATTAAAATTGAACATAGACTATTTTTCACCAACGCACTTGTTGCGTTACATACTCCAAAGATAAGCATGTAGTATCTTTGGGTCGAGCCCAAGCAATGAATAACTAATTAAATAAGTAAATACAAATGCTAACGTAGAATGACCTACTTGTCTACTTGCTTAATGGACACAACGAATAAGTTATTGATATTATGGTCTGCAGTCCACAATACCGATAACTCACTATTATCTCGATAAACAAGTAACAAATTTCTGACGGTGCAATATTACCATCATGCCCCCTATTAGGAAATACAAATACATCGTCTGAACAAAACCTCGATCGTGCTCACGCACTACCCTCACGGGTAACATCAACCAAAATCATAATTTTTCTATATCGTAATCTCGATCATTCAAATACCTGTTCGCAATACTCATCTGTCAAACATGTTCCGCGCGTAAAATCTCTATACCAAGTTTCAAACAATACCATTGCCAAACTAGAAATGTAATCGCAGTTACGCATAACTCTAACAAAGGTAAGTGCCTACCATGACTAGCTAAAACTGTAAAATATTCAAAAGTAATATGTCCTCTAAGGTCCGGATAGTTCATTCAGACTAGCCGTTACTTTAAGGGTGAAATGCGGTACGTGACAAAGTTTAATGCACATGGCCTTTAAGAAGGCTTCCCAAGACTTGGAAATGAAACACGTGTCACGATGAGATGTAGTAGCGACATACACACCACATATCTTAACAATGCAGTTCATAACGTGATAGTGAGCAGGTTCATATGGAATTTCCCTTGAGTTTAGCAAAACTATGCCAATAAGAACAATCAAGAATTTGAAGGTCAAACAAGTCCAACAAATCTAGAATACAAGGTAATTGAAATTAATGCATGACATCTCACTACAACTGTAGCTTCTGGAACATTCAATCAACAAAATGTCATGACTAAATGTTAATGTCCGAGCAACTCCTTTAGATGGTTTGTCTGTTTCAAAAATAATACGAAGTGTAGTAGGGTAGACACGGACCCAAGATTGACTAAAATACCTTCTAGCATAAAGAGGTGAATATGGAATCCCCAT